ATGGGCATTTTCAGTAACTGTGTGTGGATGACCATTGCTAAATCAATTATACTGTATTCTACATCCATCTTTGAGACAGCCAAATAGATGGCTGGGCTATATTACAGCCTGCTAATTTCCAACCTAAAACTTCAACTGCAAAACTACAACTCTATCCTATTTTGTCCTCTAAATTGTCTTCTGCGTTTTTCATGGTTCCTTTATTATGTGTGTAGCTTAGGACTTCTTATATTGTCAGAGCCTAAGAAAGTTTGACTAAACAACTTCTTCACTAATTTGTGTATTTATCACTGCTCAGTTGTGCTGCTTTAAAACACCAGTTAGGTAACAGAAAGAATTCTTTGACTTTAAATATTGCTTCCTCCTACCTCAGCAAGATGTTCGCTGCCCCTAAGTGAATCATTTAGATTCAGCTATCTCCATTCAGTTACAAATTTGGTTACAAATAAACAAATGTAAAATAATTTGAGTTATGTAATTAAACACTAACCTTAGAAATTATGGTTCTGAGAAAGAATTGGCAGTAGTCATGAAAATGGCTATTCTAGGTGTGCTTATGAGTGTGTTCATTTGCACACACATTCACAACCCTACTAGGTGCTGAGCTGTGGGCTTCTCCTGCACTGTATTCTTCCTAGATTTTCACAACCACTCTACAGTATAGTGACTATCATTATCCTCAGTTTATAGGTAAGAAACTGAGGTGTGGAGAAGATAATTGTCCCAAGGTCTTCAGCTAGTTATTTACCTAGCTAGGAGTAAGTGTATCTGTTATGTGCCAAAGCCTGGGTTCAGCAGACTGGTAAGATGGCCTCTCCAGCAAAAAGCCACAGTGATATACTTTGTTAATTTCCTCTTCTATAAAAGATGAAAATTGAATTAGGTAAAGTCTAAGGGCCTATCCAAGTCCAATATATTATGATGATTATTCTTTTTAAAAGGAGTGAAATAAAATCATGCCTTTTCTGGGTCTCCCCTAGCCTTGTAACCTACATTCAGTGATTCATAGATTTGAAACCAGTGGAAAAGTCCCCATGTGACAGTTTATTCATCTACTCAATTTAGGAAGTAGTTCTTTTTTTAAAAAATCATACAAATAAAAGTTATTAAGGATTTAAATCATGCTATCATAAATCTGAATGATTTGACTTTTCTGAAACATAAACATTCTTAATTTTAATTAACAATTTTTATTTATGAGACCATATGTCCTTTAAAAGCAGATGTTATGACTAATTGAACTGTTTCTTCATACTTTTGAGAGAAATAGATGGCCAATGTTTGTTGAATAAAATTAATATGACAAGGTAATTCTTCTCCTTTTTAATTCTTTTTAGTTATACATGACAGTAGAATTCATTTTGAAATAATTATAAAAGCATGGAATGTGTATTGTTCTAATTCAGTCCCTACTACCTCCCTTTTCCCTCCTCCCTTCCCTCTACTGATCTTTTTACCATTTACTTATTGTTGCTGTTTAAAATTAATTTCTTGTAGATATATGCAATTGTCAAGGTGATTCTTAAGCATTTGTTTACATAAAGGGCTGATTAAAAATAAATTTCTATCTTCTGGAATTTTAAATTAAAAATTTATCTACTGAAAGTAACATACTTCATTATATAAGCTATTTCTCATCATTTGTTTAAAGAATCACATTATTGAGAGTGATAAAAGGTCTATAAAAGTCTCTAAAATTTTTTGGAACTCTTACACAAGTATGCAACAACCTATTTCTTTATGCTTCTAAACTAGTCTCCACAAGACTAGATCCAGATTGGCAAGTCAAAGAAGGGGGACAAGGGAGAGCTGTAAATTTCTTAAGGATTAAGAAGGTCCTTGATGTAACTGGTTTGCAAAATGATCAGGATATGAGATTATAGGAAATTTTATTGATTGCATTTGGAGAGTGGAAACCCACTCTGGAGCAGTATTGAGAATAGGCATTTATCATGCAATTTTGTGTAGTTTGTGAGGGATGGACCTGAAAGGATGCTTCAAGATGGTGGTAAGTGTGCCACTTTCCTACAGTGCCACAGTTATTTAACAGCTGAATTAAGACAGGAAGACAGCAAACAACTTTTTTCCCAGCTCAGTTATCTTCCCAATGCCCCAAACTCATATTATCTCCTTATTCACTAATATATTAAAAAAAAAAAAAAAAAAAAAAAAAAAACTAATGTGCACATACTATTCTAAGCACTTTGGTAGATGCTAGAGCTAAATGAGTGAACTACACAAACATGGCTTTTGTAGACATTGCAAACTTTTGGCTTTTTCTCTAGTAAAGGAGTAGCATTAATAATTTAGTTTGGGAAAACATTTGTTGATGATGAAAGAGATTTAGATAAAAATTAAGATTATTTCTATCTTTACTTAAAGTGTTGCTTTTTTAAATTAATGAGTATTTATAGAGCAAGTTCATTTTTTCTACCACTTTTTTTTTTAAAAAAAATGATCAATTATATAAATATCACAGTAGAATTTTCTTTAAATGAAGTTTTGGGGGTAGAGAAGCATCTTAAACAAATGGACAAGGAGTCAAAAGCAGCAATTTATAAATTCTCCCCCAAAATAGAAATCCTGAATTATAACAGTCAGGAATTAAGGATCGGTCTTCAAATGAAGATCATTTTCTTCATTACCAAATCTTGTAATTTTGTCAATAAGACTGTTTTTCTTTTCTTTAATTCTCAGTAATGCTATGAGCATTTTTTAACAAGTCCATTTAATTAGTGTTAGATAGATTTGTTTAAAAAAAATTACCAATAATCTGAATATCTTGTGTTTATTTCTCTACCCAGACTGAATGCTTAGCCTCCTTCCCTTTTTATAATAAAAATATCTAATACATTTTGTCTCTTAAGAATGTTCAAGTGTTTTTTCCTAAATATGTTGAATTTCAAAATAGGGATAAAGGTAACTACAAAAACTAAAATGGTAAAGTATGAAAAAAAAACCCTGCTAAACTATGAAATTTGTGATCCTGATAGTGTTCCTTCCTGAGAAAGGAGTTTGAGGGCCAGAATAAGCTCAAAGTCACACCACTTGCCCTTGGCTTTATGTACCATAATGTATTTCTAGGTGGTAGAAACTACTTTCTTACAATGCAGTGGATTGAAGTACAAAAATAAGATGTTAGTTTTCAGATTTTTAATATTAATTGTGCTTTATATAATAATTATTTAATAGACAAAGCATAAATAGGCAAAAATGTGTGGCATGTTTTATTAGAATTTTGACATTTAAAAAATTCTGGATACTTTTTGCACTTAGGATATATGATTTTTAAAACAAAATGTTAACCTATGGCATCTTCTATCATTATAGTTGTTTTGGCAAATTTATTTATTGGATGATTGAAAGATGCTTTGTTCATTGATTGGTCTTTGTAGTTTTCTTATATAAACAAATCAGGAGATGTATTAATCTTTTGGGGTTCTTTTTCTTCCATTTGGTTTCTTGTTATATTTCCAGGGATTTCTTCTTTCTGTAGTCTCCGCTGTCTGAATTAACCCTGATTATAGGAACCCTCATGACAGGGAAAATATATGACAAACATGAAAGTACTCAAAGCAAGGCAGAAATAATTGAAGGTGTACATAAGGAATAAAATCAAAAGGAATTAAGCTTATTTTTAGCTCAGACAACTGAAGGATGAAAGTAGATTAGAAATATTAAGCGGTACTTAGTAATGGTTTTTCATGATGAACCAATCTACAGAAAAACTGTGAAAATAAATCATTGCTAGAGTAAATGACGTCAGGTATCAAGATGCATCCTGGACTTCAGAGGAATTAGAATGTCTTTAACCTGTAAATTCCGCTAAATATCACCTTAAGTGAGAATATATTGAAATAAATGAGGGCAGAAAATAAGTAACCAACAACCAGAGAGAGAGAGAGCCCATAAACAAAAGTAACAAGTAGATTTCAGTAGAATTTATAGTTGATGGGGCAATATTAATGCATCAAAATCACAGTGTGTGGGGAAGCTGAGAACCCCCAATGGACACATGCATCAATGTAACCTGCACTGAGACAGTTAAGCACTCTCTTTAACTATCAGGGTTTGCACATATTCTATCAGATAACCTGATTATTGACTGGCCTACATTTTTAGTATCCGATGCCTTATTTTACACTCATGGCTGAAAATCATCATTTTTATGTGTGTCCTGATTGGTTATGTATATATACATTTTCCATCTTAATGAATGTCTAGTTTATCCTTATTCATCCTTCAGTCATCTGCTCCTGGGTTACCAAGCTGGAATGCAGTAATAGTGTGCGCAGCTGCCACAATTCATAGACGTGGATTAGGCAGGTGGTTGCTGAACAATGACCCATCAAAGACTACATACTCTGTAGAAAGAGGGGAGACAGGTATCAGGTTTCTCATGGGAGGGGAGATATACACTGAACGGTAGTAATTGCAGTGAATTCAGTTTAATGTCTCAATAACAGTCACTCATACCTGTACAGTCTCCTCCCTTGTCTAATAACTCAACCAGCAGTTAAACAGCTGTGAAGCCCTGTCTCCCTGATTTTCCTCTGTGCTCCAACAGCAATAGTAGCAACAGCAGCAGCAGCCAGAGACAGGCAGGGCTGTTGCTTGCAGCCGCGCAGATTGCCTCCTCCTCACCGCACGCGCGCACGCACACACATACACACACACACACACACACACACGCACACTGAACAGACTTCCAATATCAAGGCGTCTTTGATAAAAATCAAGGGATGAAAAGAGATGAAAGAAGAGCGTTAGTCATGGACAACAGGTATTTCCAATCTGGTAAATTCAGTGTTCTTGATGCTTATTGGCATGGATAATAAAATAATCTTTTGCCATACCTAGCCTGAGTGGGAGAGGAGGTCCGTGGTGGAGGAGGGTGAAGTGGGAGGAGTGAGATGTGGGGAAGAGGGACGCCAAAATTGACTTTCAAGCTCCGGAAACCTACGTCTTTCATGTCTTTCAACCTCCGCTGTTTTTGAGTTGCAAATGATCAGGGACTGGTGGACTGCAGGCAGCCGGTGCTGTTGCCTGGAAGTAGATTTCCATCTTTTCCGACACTAGTTTGAAGGGGCAGTGTGTTCTGGAAGCGGGTGGCAGTAGGGAGGAGGATGCTGTGAGCAGAGTTCTTTAGCTCCACTCCTCAGGGGAAGCCGAGCTGTGGGAGAGCCTTCTTACTGAGCGGACGGCGTGTGAATTGGAAAGGATCCTGAGAGCTGGCGGGTCCCAGTTCCTCTCCGGAAAAGCAGTCGCTCTCCCTTTCGGAGATGCGCCTAACCTTCGCCTGCATCACACTGCAGTAAGTTAAACTGGACACGGTTGGCAATTTGAGTGGCTTCTGAGTATGGAGTGCGGGGGAAGGGAAGCTGAAAAGAAATGGAGAGGAAAGTTAGAAAAACATAGCTTTGAATTTTCCCATGCAATGTGCAATCATTCGGTTTGTCTCCCTGACTCCTGTCCTAGTTACGCTGTGGTCGTGTTACTCAGTTATTTGCACTGCTGATTGCTAGTTAGGTCTGCAGAAAGTGCCCGGTTTGTTGTGATTTTAAGCAACAAAGCTGGTAGATGTGTTCTAGATTTAATTCCAAAGTGGTCTGCTGAAAGTTACTGATGAGATGGCAGCTTGCCTTAAAAAAATAAATCAGCAAAGGGGCTGGTTTAGAATTCCAAATGCTCTAGTTAATTGTTGTAAGTTTCACTCCTGATTTATTTCCTAAACATAAAACAAGCAGACAAAACAAAAATGTCTTTGATTTACCTTATTAAATTAAGAAAGAAAAAGAAATGTGAACTCAGCCTCTGGGTTACTGCTAGGCAACAACCTAAGGGGCACTGGTAATATGATCACATTCAAATATTCTTTAGTGGGTAGCATGCAGAGAGTTTCCCCAGTTTCTTATTGCTGCAGTAATCTCCACTTGTTCAACAGTATCTTCCTTGTGATTTCACAGTGGTGATTTTTACATAGATGGCTCTATACTTAGAAACTAAGCAGCATTGTGTTCACTGGCAGAAAATGAAGCCTTAAAAAAACTTTTAAAAAACAACTTAAACTCAAATTGCAGATAACCAACTCTTTTAAAAATAGGTCAGTAAGGGCCAGCCCATTGTAAACCAAATGCCCAAATAAGCATGAATGCAGGCAGAACACTAAAGGTCTTTTTTCTAAAAGAGAAACTAGGAATTATTAATCTAAAAATGTTGAAGTGTCTAGCCAGGCCCTCTCATAGATTATAATTTTATAATGGTGAAAAGAAAAAGAAAAAGAAAAGAAAATGAGTCCCTCAAGTGAAAGCATATGGTACACAAAAAAGTTATATTTAATTGGAGGATCATTGGAGAAATTTCTGTATTACTACATCTTTCTCCAAGAAAGATTAATGTAAATTAGAAAGTACCGAAAACAGAATTCAGGATTTTAAACTGGATGTTCCTATAAAGTAGCATAAACTCTATAGGTTAAGGTGGTTACAAACTTTTGAAATAACTCTTGTGAAATGCATAATAATTCTGAAAACCTCTGCCATGAGAAAAGAGGAAATTAAGGCCTACTCTTATCCTATTATTTAAATTTTAAATTGTATTATATTCTTTAATCCACCTAATCTTCATTAGTTTGCTAAAAATAAAATATGTCCAGGATGTAATTTAAATTGTTTAGTCTAATTAGCTGCTCATCCTGTCGATCTCTAGATACAAAGCTTTACTTAGTACTTTTGGCATTGTATTGTTGTAGTATCCATTCCACACATGAAATTTCTCTCTGCATAAACATGTGACTTTCTGAATCACTGAGTAAAATATAATCCAGAGGATGTATTTGTTATGTATTTATGTATTTGTATTATGATAATGCATACATGAGGGCGATTAAAAAGCTTAGGCAGCAATAAATTAGATCTAGGTAAAGAAGAATATAGGTTGAAGGAGTTTTCAAGCAGTTCCATGTACTCTTTTAGATGAATACTTGAACTTCAGGTAGCAATCTAAAGAGAAGGAATATCAGGTGGAAGACATTGATAACAACTTGTGAAAATGTCTTTAAAGACAGAAACTTAGGTAGTTGGAGTTGAAGTATAGTAATACCCTTGATTCATACTTTTCTGGTCCTACTGATAAGCAAAATTTGTATTACGTTGTTAAGAAAATTGTTACGTTTTTTAAAGAAAGCAATTATTTTAAGGTTTAAACCATTGGTGAGGTTTATTGGGACAGTGTTTGAACTAGTTTCCTTGTACACTACTGAAAGAAGAAAGAGTTGTAGCCAACCAAGTCAGACATAGATAGTTGCTTGTCCCTAAATCTAATCTGTCTGCTAATAATAATGAGTATGATATATATATATAGGCTTGATATGACATTTTAAGATTATTCTTTCCTGGATGCTTCTTCTGGATGACTCAGGATCAGAGCTGTATTTATGTATGCAAGATAGTGTTGCAGAATTCTCTTAAGAGTAATACCTCTAGCCTATGAGCACCTGCCCAGAGGAAGCTTCAGGCAAAGCTGAGAATGAACCTCTTCCTAGAGCCCCTATTCCATCTACAGCATTCTCTCTCTTATAAAACACCAACATACAATAACCTCAAGTAAGAGCCCATGTGCTTGTTGACCCTGGGTATCAACTATGAAGTAGATTCAATTCCTTCAGAGCTCTGCAGATTATTTCCATACATAATTTGCTCATTGCACAATGAATGATAATGATAATTTCTGTAAGTATAGTCAATGCAGTACTAGGTCAAACATTTTGAAAGTGTTGTTTCATTTATAGTATAGCAGCTACGGAAGGGAGATGGCATTCTCTCCCATTTGGAGGGAATTCAATGCTCCATAGAATAAAAGAATTGTTGAAAGCAACATATTTGGTAGATGATGGACTAGGATTAGCCCACAAATGTGACTAACTCCAATTTCTAGTCGTTTTTGTTGTTGTTGTTGTTTACCTGAAGTATTCAAATGGTACTCTGTTGATGATTAGGTGTGGTAAGTCTACCATTTTGTGGATGCAGTTGGTGGTGAGTGTTTGAGAAGTCACATCAGGTAGGGGAGATCTTTCTGCTCTGATGATACCAAAGATTGGAACCCCAAAACTGGAACCTAAATTAACCCCCGATCCAAACCTGGCATAGTCACCATCCAATTTCAGGTTCTGCTTTGGCTTTACAAACTGTGGAAATGAAGCTGGGGACATTGCCAGGAAGATGCTGGAGTTCATTTGGGAGGAATGAAGTTGGAAGAGGGATAAAAGGAAAATAAAGGGATGACAGGGTAGGAGACACATAAAATGTGTCCAGATCCTTTGTTCTGAGGTACTCTAAAAAACTCCTTAGGCTGTGTGTGGGGGGTGGATATGTTTAAAGTCACAGATAAAACACAGACTTGAAACATCTCTTTAAATCATTGTAAGATCTGATTATAAAAATGAGGTTAGGCTTATCTCCAGATAATCTTTACACACTTTTAAGAGGGAAAAAAAAATGATTCAAAGAAAAGTGGGGTGAAAAAGGCCAGATGATGACTGTAGAGGTAAAACAGTACATGGAAATATCACTGATTGTTGCATAATCATTTCTTGAAAATTTGCCAAGAAGCAAAAGGCCATCTTCAACTACTGAGGAGCAAAACAGAATGTGAAGCGTTAGGTAAAATGTGAAGTGTTACGGAGCCTAACATGATTACTGCCACTTGTCTTCTTATCACAGAAGACAAACACTAACAAGGAATAAAATGAAAATGTTATAGGCATAGAGCCAAACAATATTTTAGGATTGGTCTTTCTCAGCATGCTAAATTTAAACAGCTGAAATTCTTTTTTAAGGACTTTCTGAGTCAACAATTTGAAATGATGGATTTGCCTTTTAATAGGGAGTTTGTATTGCCTTGTAAATTTGAAACACAGTGTCCTTGACTGGGTTATTTTTGATTGGCAACATGCCAATCACTAAAGATGCAAGGAACATAAAAACTGTTACCTTCAAATCAGAAAGTAAATGAGCGTGCTCCACAAGCTGAGTTGATGCTACTGAGCTGTTGTCAAATATGTATGTGGTGATGGAGCTTTGCAAATATGTTCACGTTCTTGGCCCTGATTCATTCCCTTGTCATTTGTGACATTTCACGTTGGGGTTGGGAATGCAATTCTGAGGGATGATTTTTAAAAGTAGTATTGAAAATGGCCTTCATCTTTTCACAGTTTAAAAATCATGGTACCAACTTTTGTTGAATGTTTACTATATGCCAACTACCTTTATAAGCATCTTGTACATTTAATCTTGACATTACCCTTATTTGATAATCCTAATTGTTTTTTCCTTCCCATTTTATAAGGGCAAACTGAGGAACAGCAGGGTTAAGTGATTTTCCACAGTTAGAAACTGGTAGATATACAGTGGGGGCTTGAATCCAGACAGTTTGGCTCTAGAAACCAGATTTTTAACCAAAAGGCTGAAAGTCCACTATGTCATTGGTTTATTATAATCCTCTATGGTTCATACTATCTTGTACCTCCTTTGTTTATGTTTATATTTGTCCCTCTGGAATTTACAGTTTTGTTTTGTTACTGAGGATTGAACCTGGGACTCTCTACCACTGACATACTACATCCCTTGTCCTTTCCATTTTTCATTCTGAGAAAGGATCTCACTAAGTTGTCCAGGCTGCCCTCGAACTTGCCATCCTCCTGCCTAGGCCTACAAAGTAACTGGGATTACAGGCTAGAATATTGTGTCCAGCTGGAATTTACTTCTTGATTCCCCAAATCCTCTGGCCTCACACCATACTCACGTGTGTCATTTTGTAATGTAACTTCAGCCCTTAAGCTTTTAGTCTAGAGTCATGACCCACTGGGGATTTTATTTGGATTTTACTGCTGATCTGAGATTCTACCAAAATTTGTGCTTTCCTTTGTTGAATATGCCACAGACTTGAAATGGTCTTGTTTCCACACTGAAGAGGGGAACCAAGACTTATTTTTTTAGAACTTTAGTGTTTAGCATAGTGTCTAACATGCCATTGAAGCTCAATAAATACTTCTCTTAATAAACTGACCTCGGGACTCTAACTCAATTCCCTAAAGGACTAGGGAGACCTACGTGCAAAATATTTCACCTTTACCTTCCAAAAAGACTAGAGAATTGCCTTTTAAACACAAGGTGTAAATTTTGAGCCAGACAATATATTTTAATAAACAAAACTCCTGGTTGGTATCTAAAATTACTCAAAATGCATTTACTTCCCTGTGTGGTTTGAATTGAGTATCCCTTACCCAACATGCATGGGACAAGAAGTGTTTCAGAT